CATTGAATGCATCAACCTTGGCGTATGTCAACAATATCTTATATACAGATGAATACTATTTAGCCATAGAATAGTTATGCCTTGACGTATGCCAACAAACATAGTATTTATAAGCTTAATAGTATTTAACTAAAATGATGGAAGGCTACGGACGATTTCTCAAATCTTTTACCGTAATCGAACTTGATATAGTTTAAAGATGCTCTATATTTATACTTGCAACAATTAAACTAGCCAGGAAAGCGCAAGATTGGTGGGAGGGTTCCGAGCTATTCACCGGGAATATTTATCGGACCTTAATTAAGTAACCACTTCTCTTTAAGACTATAGCGCGAAAGATTGGGCATCACCCCTAATCTTAAGTTGGGCATCACCCCATGAGCTATATCTCATAATTACTTTCCTTGACACTAGTTAAAAGCTCATTCTAAATACATCTCTTTTAACTGCTTTAGGTTTATTTATCTTTCACACTAACACTATGTTAATGTCGATCTCACCACTCTATGGTCAATAAACTCTTATTGCCATGTCTCACAAAGTTTAAAAAATGAGTTTTTATAATAAAAACTATTCTCTAGTGAGATAGAGATATAAACTTTGCAAAAAATAGCACCCAATTGTATTGACATCTACAATTTGGGGCACAACCAACATATCAACATATGTAATGTAAAACTTATATAGAATGGTAGTGGACAACTAAAGAAAATAAAATGCAACTACACTAATTACATTTTAGCAAGCCATATGCAACTCCTTGCGGTGCTTGTTCCCTTGCAAACTCTGTATTATTACAATCATATAAACATAGGACGTGCAAGCCCCATTTATAATGGAAAAACCATCTCGTAGGATGGGTAATAATATTGCATTAAATATAAAGCAAAAGCTATAAATGAAATAACTAAACTAAGCAACCATACCCCCCCACACCCGAACAAGGGCCTATACCCGTAGGCGTAGCCCATGATCGGTGAGCAAGTGCCTAAACCCGTAGGCGTAGCCCATGCTCGGGGAGGGAAGAGGTCGTAAATAATTATTACATTTCTAACTTTATTACATCAATACAAAACATACAAGAGAATAGTTGTCCACTACCATCCATAAACATAACATCCATGCAAGATGATAAATCATATAACTTAATCAACATTAAGAAATATGCATCTATCTAGTTATGCAACATATTGGAAACTAGATAGCATAAGGATTATCCAAACTCAAAAAAGACTAACAAGCTTCTAACATACAACTACACTAGTTGTAATTAATTATTTTATAAAATAACTTGAATTAATTAACTAGTTTCATGTAAACTAGAAATTAGAAGCAAGAACAAGGTCCTCCATGAGTTAGATGTACATGTTAAGATTCAATTAGATAGAACCATAGCTCTGATACCATGAAGGAAATCGTGCTATGTCTACATGCATAATACACAGCGGAAGACATGTATGTACAAAAATACTAAGCATGTAGAGAGCATGAAATATTCATATGGATCGTCTAATTAAATCTAACATGATCCTTATTATTAAGTGAGCATACAAGAGTTAGAAAGTCATACTTTCGTAGCGTGATTCGATGGAAGATCGAATAACCCCTAGCTCTTGCTCCTTGTAGTAGAAAATCTCCTTGTAGTGGATCTCCAAGTCTTCAAGTGAGCTTGATAAAATGGGAGTCTTCTTAAGACACAAGGCAAGATATCCACCCCGGGGTTCTTAAAATCCTACTACTTCCTCTTGCTCAAAGATTGCTAAAGTTTAGTAAGAGGAGAGCTCTCTTTTATTCTCTTATGGAAAAAACACTTAGCCAATTTTTCATTAACCTTTCCATAAGAAAAAGAGCTCATATTTATAGAGTGAAATGTGTTCATGATATGAATGACTCATCCTATGAGTCATGCAATGAATCATCAAAAATTAATGATTAATCAAGTGAGTCATGCAATGAATCATCTTATGAATCATTACATTTCAAAACCATGTGCTAATAAACCATGTGCTCAAACCATACCACTAAGTGACTCATCTCATGACTCATTATACATGGTATGTGTATTTCATAAATGAGAATACCAAATTATTATCACTAATACAGTATTTCATAAATACGGTATATAGTATTATTCCAATCTTTAACTAATTAGTCACTATATGACCAAATAAATCAAGAGTTGACCAAAAGTCAACTGTTGACCAAAAAGTCAACTAGTTGACTAAAAGTTAACTTTATGGGAAAAATACTGGAATTCATTTCCTAAGCACATAGCATTCCGATTTTACCGATATACATAACCGTTTATGTGTATCCGGAAGAAATCATATATGCGTATCAATCATACGCATCACTCCATAAATTGTGTTTCATAGGATTCAAGTACGCGCTTGGTGTGACTCTAGGGCCCAACTTAAAAAACTCGGTAGTGGATCATATCCATAAGTACAACAGAGGTGCTAGCTACACATGAAGACCACCCGGGTATAAGTTGTGATAAAGGTCTGCAAGATGCTTATCCAATTTTATCAGGACCACTCAATGATAATACCGTACAGTCCGGTCTCTTCGTCAAACCATGTCAAACTATTGAGCCTAGGGTATGGCAAACTGTCAAACCCTAATAGCTTGATTAGTGTTTATTGATATTAAACTCATAACCTATAAGATCAAACTGACACTCAGTTTATCTTATTCACCTTGGCCAAGGATTTCCAGGCTATAGTTATATCAAACAATCTTATGACATCAACCCCTATACTGGGAGAGACGAATCCCTTCTTGGCATCTCAATATCTACTTATGTCTCGGGATGTACCCAACAAGAACCGTTATGCACAATTCAATAAGAACTGTGGTTAGGTAAAAGTCTAAATACATCTTTACTGACATATAAGATATTGCACTCATGCCTCAGGTCAAGAGACTACTATGTACTATATCACTTGAGAACTTCTATTTGACAGTTAAGTATATTACCAACTAGATGTTCTCGGCGAGTCGTTCAGTCAACTCATTCACTAATGAGTCACCTGTATACTGTATCTTGATGTCTCACATCAATGATCTAAGAGATTGATCATCTCCTTCAAAAGGAGAAATAAAGCATACACTAGTCTAAACCAAAGTGATGATGTCCTATCTCAACACTTCATCAACTAGGAACATTTTAGAATATACGTTACCGACTAATCAGATCTCTTCATTACGATCACTATCCGAAATGTCTGATAGTCTAGTATTAATTCTAAGGACATTATCTGTATATTTAGAACATCAGATAAATCTGACCAAAATAGCATACTATCATTTTGAACAAGGATGTTATATACATATAGGTCCTGTTACAATATACAATAATTGCCTGCAGGGCACCTATATCTAACACGACCATCATTACCAATGTCTACAAATCATAACAATTATCAACATCTCTCTAAAGTACCAAGCATAGAACCAAAAAGTTCCCAAGTACATCTCGTGAGCAACTTGAAAGGATACAATATTTACAAAAATTCTCAAATTTCATGTCATGGACAAAAAAATTAGAAAAAATAAAAGACAGAAATTATAAAAGAATACTCAAATTTCTTTCCAACCAAAGTTTGAGAACTAATGACTGGGAAATTAGCAGTCATGGTTTCATAAACATGCTTCTGACGTTGGGGATCAGCGTCTCTGAGAGTTTTTGGGCGCGTTCAAAGTTCGCTTCGCTCCGGTGGAAATCATTGGCAGTTGACAAAAGGGGACAAGAGGTGATCAACGAGAGCAATGTGTGTTAGAGTTTCTAGAACGTGCGAGGGTCACTGGATGTGATAATCTCAAATTCCACAAAGGAGGTCCATTGGATGCGATAATCTCAAATTCCACGAAGGAGGTCCACTTGTCATTGGCGAACTTGGAGGCAGTCGGCGAGGGATTTGGAGGTGATTGATAAAATTTGGTTAGGGATTTTTAAAGAATGGGATCAATGATGGCTTCTATTGTGAAAGAGGGTTTATAATTAGAAAAGGGTAATTTTGGAATTATTTTTATTTGTCTCAAATACAGTATACAGGGAAGCAGTATTTAGAAGAATGTGTTTAAAAATAAATGACTAGATGCTTATAAAAGTGAGTGGGTTTTGAAATAAGTAGGGGTAAAACTTTGGGTTTAAAGAAAAAACCCCTTAAGAAAAAGCATTCTTTTCTCTCACATACTCACATGAAAAGGCAAAAAGAAGGAGAAAGTACTATGTTGTTGTGTTTTGTCATGTTTCTCCCCCACTTTCCACCCAAAACACTGGAAATTAGGTCACTGCAAAAAGATCCTACTGAATCAAACTTAGTTTCAGAAAGCGAAAAGCATCAAAAATATTTACTTACTAAAATGCTACTGTCAGAGAGGTTTCCACTCTCAACAGCCCCTAAGAGCATCTCCAACAGCTTCTCCATTTCCCACTTTTGGAGAATTTAGTTAGGTTTTTGATCCAACAGATTCCTCATCCCATTCCCCAAAATAGGGATGAAGGAGAAAAAATGGGGAAGCTTCCCTAAATCTGCAGCATTCTTCAAATTTTTGGAGGAAAAAAAAAGGATTCTTCAAAATGGGGAAGCTGTTGGAGTTAGTATAAAAATTAGTTAGAGAATATGACTTTTGCTTCCCCATTTTGGAGAAAATTTTAGAAAAGCTGTTGGAGATGCCATAAGTGTCGTTAGACATATAAAAAGTTCAATAAAGGTTTTTCTAATAATTTTTTTTTCTTTGTGATTACCAATTATTTATCTTGTCGTGTTGGAATTGGATTATTTGGCTATCAAAAGCAAAAGGGTGAGAGAGCAAGTAGAAAAAAATCAATTGGACAAGCCTTAGAAAATTTGACAATGCATGGGAAACCCCGTTACACTTGCACGCCTTAGCTTGTAAACGCACTGATGACTGTTTGAAGAGCATAGCTTCTTATCATGACAGCATAGGGGATATCACGAGTAATGTTTTCCAATTATCTGGTACTCCAACAATTAAGAAGTTTTTTTAGCATCATAACTTAGTATCTGCATGTAAGTAGGTATTCTAATTTCCAAACTAACCAACACAAAGCCAGACACCTGTACTGAATATGATCTCTTTTGCTTTAGCACCTGCAAATTTTCAAGGTCACTTTAAAAGGCTTCTCTACAATGAAAGAGAAGCCAAGCATCTCGTATGAAATTTTTAGATGCTGTATCCAATTGATGATACTTGATAGAAGAAAAGAAATACATCTTGTTAGCAAAGAGTGATTATTTCACTGTAAGTGTCTCGGGATTGTGTGCTTCGATATCAACGTGCCTTATGCCAGGAACAATTTGTTGGATCTCTGATTCAAGGCGATCAACCTCACTTCCCAAAGTCCCACATTCCTCACCGCTGCCACGAGGGGGGGGGGGGGGGGTAGCTTAGAGACATAAAAAAGTAATAACAAAATGTCTACATGATTTCTACACCTTGAATAATTCATACCATAATTTGCCATAGCCTTCAGTAATGCGGAGTCATCCTCGCATTTTGCAGCCTCACGGAACTGTAAGCATCAAAAGTGGATAACACATTCAGTTAAAACAAAGCTTTTCCATAAGTATAACAATCGATCTTTCGTAGGAGGGCAGAGAGTAGACATCTAAAAGTTGAAGCTAATGGCAAATGGATAGAATTTGGTCATCAGACACACTAGCTCTCGCACAAGGAAACTTAATTTTGGAGACCCTTCTTAGTGAGGTACAAGCAGTGTATGGGTATCATAGTTGTATCCATGGGTACATGAATTTAGGTTCTTAATGTATTCATTGCCATGCAAATGAAACAAAGAGTATAGAACTAGCATGATACACAAACAACAAGCAGAAAAAGGAGAACGAATAGTTTTATCATTTATGAATTATGACATTGTCATCTATTTCAAGTGGGAAGACATTATGAAAAATATGATCATCACACCACATCAAAATTATAATAACATGCACAAGAGATATTGAGAGGGACATTTCCTAATTGTATGGGAATTCTAATCATGATTTGTAGTGACGTATCCCATAAGAGCACTTTTCTTTTAATCAATGTCCATGGGATAACATTAGAAAGGACAGAATGAGTCGTCTTCACTTTCCTTCTAGGTTTTCTACTCAGAATCAAGGACTAGTGAGGACACTTATTCCATAAATGTCTCATAATTTTGGTCAAGGGAAGGATTTCTCATCCAGTAAGATGAGCAGTGTCTCTTTAATCAATCAACTTTTCTTCCCTACAAATTTGGCCTAAATAAAGAAACGAATTTAGAAGTGCAATTCTGCATCAGATCAATAGCAATAGCAAGCGCAAAACGAGTAGCAAGCCAATCAAGATACAATGTCCATTATCTTACATTATCCTTAGATGAAAGAAAATAAGTGCCATGTTAGTTAGAATTAATAAAGGTCACACAAAGATATTATATTTAAGTTGATGGAATAGAGCACATCTATAAGACTTCTGCAACTCAAAAGGAAACTAATGAATGTTAACTTCATGGAACATCAAAAGAAGAGTTAGTATGCACTGCCAAACAATAAAGGAACTGATTACGTTGGAACGTGAATTTGTTATAGTTTGTCAAATATTAAATGCAACATATACATAGGAAAGGTTTGGAAGCAGAAGGATAACGGATTTATCTTCAGATAGCACAATTGAAACATTTACATAAATTATTACATCCGACTGCAATCATCAACTTTTAAGATAGTAAGTGGAGTCCTCTTCAGAATGCACAGTTAACCATTACATAGCTACTATGATCTTAATGCAAATTTCAAAATATTAAGGTAGAAAAGATAATGGAGTCTTCCAAAGAAAGCACAGTTTAACCATTTAAATAGGTTATTATATATTAATGCAAAGCTTCAATATCCTTTTCCATTTATCACAGACAGATTTTATAGGATCCACCTCTGGATGAGCATGTATGTGAAGGGTACCAATTGGTCCGGTTTATCCAGAAATAACTTGTGTGCTACCAGATACTACTCATCCATCTAAATATTCTCCCAGCTAGGCTTATTCTGTTGATATATTGTTTCTTGACTGGTAAAAGGGAACATGCATAAATTTTCAACCCTTTGCAATTCTTGGATTTAACTGGTCATAGCTAGACTGGCTTTTCAGACCGAGATATCACATAAGCAAACAGGCCTTAGCTAAAAGATATTTGAAGGGGGGGAAAATCAGTGCATATAACACATTAAGTTTTTGTGTTCTGTGTTTGTAAATGCAACATACTTTTTCCTTCTTCCTCGGTTTTATGAGAATAATATAGAATATTCTGATAAACTGAGAAATTGTAACCAACCTGCTTGGCCCATTCTTCACGTCCAGTTCTTTCCAAATAATTTTGCACCACCACCACCCCATTGAAATCTGTTAAAGCAAAAGTTTTTACAATTAAAAATAATCCAGGGAAATGTGAGATTAACACAATTCTAGTTAATATATGTATCATATTTCCCAAAATAATAATAATAGTAAAATAAAAACAAAAAAACAAAAAAACCAGGAGTATTAGTTCAAAATGATAACCGAAGAATCGTATCAATAAAAGCAATAAAGCAAGACGGTGAAAGGGCAAAGGAGAGAAAATAATAGAATAGGAAGCATGCTGATTCAAGGTACTCAAATAAAATAAGTGATAAGAAACATGAAGAGAACATTCACTACAGTATATAAATATGTTATGCACGAGTTGCATGCTACAACCTGTTCCTAAATGAATAATCAGAATTATGTACTTCACATCCTTTCTTCCTTTACTCCCCACAGACATCAACCATGCACTAAACTAGCATGCTTTCTACCTAAATTCTGTAGCAACTATTTTGATGCTCACGAGTTAAGACAATTTTTATAGGCATGTCCGTGTAATACTACAATGATGATTATTCACCTTCCTGGTCAGTGGTCACAGTTTGGGACTTCCAGTAGGAAAACTAACCAGGTAAGATTTTATAACTTGCATATAATTAGTGAACTGAATTCCAAAGCACCAGACTCTGCTGCAAACGGAAGTTATCAGAAGTTCTGAGACTCTCAACTCATGCAGCATTTTACTGCACCCATATGGAACATGTCAAGTACTTTGAATACAATAATATAAAACTGTTTCAACTGAAATTACTACCTCACTGCAACTTGCAACCTGGGTATGGAGCAATGAGATAAATATTCCAAGTCACTGTCTCAAACAAATCTTTATGCACCTAAAGATACAACTATACAAGGATGTACCATAGATGTAATCCTAAAAATCTTTCTACACCTGGAAAGTATATTTTCTTCCAAATGAGCAATCCAAACAAGCATAATTCTACCCCGCCACATTTAACATTCAGTGAAGTAGTGCATACTGCATACCTATCTGATCCATCCCGAGTAACCAAGCTCTAAAGTCTAAACTTTATGATAGATGTTAAGTGATTTAAAATCAATTCGACCTACTCACATAGGAGGCACGATTCTGCAGAAGGGATAAAAGAGAAAGGAGAAAAAAGAAAGATTGGCTGCCACCATGGCTGAAGACGCTCCCTACCATTGTTGTTGACAATCACTGTCCCACCACTAGCACTACTGTTTGCTACAGAACAACCAACCTAACTTCCTAAACTTGATGCATTGCCCCACGTCACCAATAGCTGGCAACGTACACATTGGCTAGTAAAACAGAGAACCAACATACAGCTGCAACCATTAGCTCAACTCTTTTCCTTTCATTCTTTATTTATTTTTTCTTTTGCTGTTCTGTCTTTGTTAGCCTCATGGTGACCGACCTCAGTCATAACCAGTTATTATTAGCTTCTTGGTTAAAGATCTTTTTGGCATAATGTGCAAGACCAATAGGATATAACTGTAAACATTAGAAGGTTATTGGAGTTACCAATTTCTGCTTTGAATCTAAAGAATCCAGGCCCAATCACCTCACTCTTGCAATCATATAAAGCATCAACCACCTGCAGAAACCAACACATATAAAATGGGGGCAAAACAATTAGGAGAACATTAAATGATACTGGGGTGATCTTACTGGATCTGATTTCAAAAAATGAAATGGTCATCAATTGCTCGACCAATCAAAGCATGTCGGTTTCTTTGAATGAGAAATATGGCAACCTGCAACATTAATTTTTAACAAAATTATTTGCACGAATGTATAAAATTATCAGATGTAGCCTAGCTCATGAATGGATGTTCAAGAAAACTTTAGCAGAAGACTGAATGAACCCATTTACATATAAGTATCTATAACTTCTATGATGAAATCTGTCTAGATGGTGGTAGGTTTATACAAGCTTTAGCATAATAAAGATCGTCTAGAAGAGGAAACTGGTTGAAAACTATGTTCCTTATTGAAGCAAATTTCATCTTCAGATACTTGTTCTACTGTTCAAATCCAACAAAATGGTGTAAGATGCTTTAATACCAGTAGCAACTACATCAGAGATAAGTGTACTTATATTCCAGCTCTCATATTTTTATTTCCACCAGTTTACAAATACTCGACATTGAAGTGGTACTGGACAAAATTGCTCACAGACCAATACAGAACAGTTATTTACAAATAATTTGTTAATGTCAATGAGTAGCCATTCACAAATAAAATAATGTTACTCAGAATGCTGCAATCCAAGCACGGATGTAAAGATATCATACCATTCCAAGTAAATTACCAACTATGATGGAACCAATTGGGTCATAGATTGCATTTCCTGTCGTATTTACAGCGACCAGTGAGGCAGCAGCAATAGCAAGACCTGTAACAGCAGCACCATCCTATATAGCACACACTAGTTATGAGAGAGATTATATATGAAGTATAATGCCCAAGACAGATTGCTCAACCCAAAGTCAATGGTGAAAACACAGAAGGGAAATCAATGAGAAAGTCAGCAGTGCCGACCGAAAAGGTGTCTAATAAAGATAAGGGCCAACATCTGCTGTTATAGTGCAGAAGTGCACTAGATGCTGAGCGATCTGCGGATATTTTGGTTCTTGACTGATAATATCAGGACCATCTTTGGATGCGTCCCAGAATTCATCAAATATTCAAGACACTATATATTAACAAGATATATCTGCGATTAAGAATTTAACCTTTTACATTAATGATTTTGCTCAATTTCATTTGTGGTACTGGATGTATTTATAGATTTTACTTTTTTTACAAATAACAACAATTGTCTGGTAATATATGAAATTTGAATTTAATGTAAACCTTTGGGATAAATATATATATAAAGCAAAGAAACAGTATCATATGTTTAATGTGTTTGGCTGTTTGATTTTATCCCTATCATAGTGAATCCAAGGTCCGCTTTTCATATTCTATCACAGTGCAAGTGACACATAAGGGTTTTCATAATGCCATTTGTTTATTTGTGATAACCTGTTGGATTCTCGACATTTAACTTCCGATATAAATGCTGCTTTGTGAAATATAAGTGTGTCCTACAGAGGTGCTTCACTTGTTGCTAATTCTTATTCTATTTACATTTTCCCTGTTGTAATCATGACATGGTTATGCTAATAAAGATTCATATAAAAAATATGTATGACAGATTTCCACATGCCTTATCCTAGCTTTTCGAGATCGCCAATTTTGTACCGTGCAACCTAGGGAGTACCTCAGTCATAACAGCAACAGATGTTGGATCATGACCACGCCAAACATAATCCCAGACTGTCATTCCTTCTGCAGCTGCTCCTTTCTTTACAGCATTAATAGCAACCAGCAGTGAAGCTCCTGATAGAAAAAAGATTAGAAATATGACTTGCATAAAATTGAGGACAAAAAATTGAATGTGCAGAACAAACCTTCAATAAGGAATGAACCACCAATTACTAAAGCAGCATAGTGAATATTTTCAGGAGGCTGTCCATGTAATTCATACTAGAAATTAGCATTCGAAGAAGTATTTATCGACGGAATGCAAATCTAGTGTGAAAACTATGTTGCAGATTACATACATGCGATGTCCACAAGTTCTGGAATCCATGCACAATTGTGGCCCCAGAACCCAGACAGAAGATACCAACTGCAGATATCAAGGACCAGACAAATCTTTCCTTTGAATAACCATAGCTGCAGAAAAGTGGGTAAACAAACTAAAACAATAGGTAAAAAAAACTATCACAAATTGAAAGCTTTACAACTCTTTCTCATCAGCACTCTACTGGTCTGCCTTAAGCATTATATTGGTCTTCCTTAGTAGAAATAGAATCAAAGTTTGATAAATGATTGTTTATACACTTAATTAATGATATTAATGGTGACTTTAACTGTTAAAATCACTGTTTATTAATACTATGAAATTTTTTGAACCAGTACATGGGATGAAAAAAACTTACGGGTGCATAGCATCAGGAGCACGCCTTGAACTACTCAAACCATAGGCAAGAAGTGCCTAAATATAAAGATATGCCAGCTTTAGACATAAAAATAGTGATTGAAAAGCATGACCTACGAGCAAGATATGCAAAGAGAAACTGAAATGACAAAGTACCTGGTTTGCAAAATCAGCAACTGAATGCACCACTTCAGCTAACATAACATGACTGGAGGTCACAAACCACACACCAAACTTGAGAGAGAAGACCAGAAAGTTACACCATAATGCCGTATTAACTGCCCGTTGGCTGAAACATCTCATTTTAGGTTGACAAGTTCCATGCTAATGTCAGGGCGTACGAAGTCTTTGTATTACATTTAGATAAATACGCAATAGACTGAATGATGGCAAATCAGAAGGTTTTGCATTAATGAAACACAATAGCCCTTTCTTTCGGAAGAAACCTAATAGTAAGTTAAGAATTAAGTATTGCAACTGTTCAACTTATCTGTTATTATGAGCCTATGAGGGGTTTTGCATTAATGAAACACAATATCCCTTTCTTTCGGATGAAACCTAATAGTAAGCTCACCAGTTAAGAATTAAGTATTGCAACTGTTCAACTTATCTGTTATTATGAGCCTATGAGGGCTCTTTAATAGGACAATATGGGGGCTCTTTACTCGAAAATATCACTTTGTGGGAGGTCAAGCCACATATGATCCTACAAAGTGATGATAAGTTTTTTTTGAACCATAAGCATACATCATCCCCACCTCCTAATAGACGAATAGTAAGGGAAATTTGCTTCGAGCCCCCTTTTTTGAACTTTTTGTTCGTCCCCCCGACCAATTCCTTTTGTGAAAAAACCATTGACTGCACCTTTTTACACCCCTCCCTTCCCTCCCTCTTTTTCTCCCCAAAATAGCCTCATCTTCAACCTCTCAACTCCCGACTCCTCTCCAACCTCTCATCTACTGCCCTCCTCCTTGACCTCCATCCTCGCCCCTTCACTTTCACTTTTGTGGCTTTGCCCTCCTCTCCACCACCTCCACCTTCATCCTCCTCCTCTCCTCCTCCTACTTCACCTCACTTCTTGTCCTATCTTCTCCTTCCTGTCCTCCTCTCCATCCCTCTTTCCTCCACCTCTCCCTCCACCCCTCGTCCTACCTCCCACCTCCTCTCCTCCTTTCTTTCACATAAGGAGTTGGTTTTTTTTCGTGGGGTAGTTCAGAAAAGGGGGCCCGAAATAAATTTCCCTAAATACTATCTGTGTCACCAATTGCAGTCGAACTCTCTTAATAATCAAAATATCTGCATTCTGCTTAGAAGAAAATCGAATGATCACCTATGTTACTTACATTTTATGACATTTGGTTACTTGTTCCCATGTATGAGTAGGTACATGCATGTGCACATGGGAGGTCACTTCAGCGACTTCCACGAGACATTATCAGAATCCATGCTCTAACTAGTAAATTATGCAATTGTTTATTTAACACGGAGCGAGTTATCTATCTTTAACATCAATCAGCCCTTATAATAGCAAAATCAAGAAAAAGGGGGAAGCAGAAAAAGGAAGAACTTGTCCGCTCCTCCGCATCAAAATATTCTTCAAGATGAGTAGATGACCATCTCCACAGACGTAATAATAAAATAATAAACTCAGCGGGGAACATAAAACTCCCTAAAATAGAACATGCAGAGCATTGACAGCCAAGACTCCAATGCTCTGTAATTCAAATTAAAGAATGCGATTGCAGTTCCATACCTGGTCTCATCATCAAACACGGTCTTTTTAACCTTGGCAACCCTAAGTGAATAATCTGCAAACAACAACAACAACAACAACAAATTCAATTTTCGAATAAAACCCGACATGAAAAATGAAAACCAGAATAGAATCAGAAAGCAAGAGATAAGCTACTGCGAACGAAGTAAATCAAATGGGGCGATGACGATTGAGCGCCGGGCGGCGGTTTGGTCGAGGACCAGAAATCCCTGTTGGGTTTCTTGTGGAACAAGAGCGAGGGCTCGCAAACCCTAGGGGGCCCAGGGCCGCCGCTGAGCGAAGAGAAGCCCGCATTTCTTTGCTCCGGTTGTTGATTCTGCTGTCGCTGATTTTGACCGGAGAGGAGATGGGAGCAAATGGAGGAGGAGCGGGGTTGGGGGTTTTTCGGGCGGTGATGGTGGGAGAGGAGGAGACGGAGGCCGCCGAAGCGCGGAGATTTACGCATTAACTGCTAGTCAACAGCAAAGAGGAGAGGGCGAGCCCTGAAGAGTATGATTATGTGGGTTACTCTCTCGTAATCTAGTTTCAAGTGTCTATAGAAACAGCTTTATTACAGAGACCCAAAATATTGGACCAATAAAAAAACAAGTGAGATATCCCCTTCTATTAGATAATAAGTTAATCATCATTAATAATAATTAACTCATTATCCAATAAGAGAGGGACACCTCAATTGTCCCCCTTATTGGTTCCATATTTTGAATTCTTGAGGAATTTTTCTTATAAAAATTGGGAGTGTCAAATGCCTATAAAAGAGGGCATCATGTTCATGCCTGCTACATATCCTTCTTTGGAATTTTGCAACCTTTTTTGGTTACAGTGGCGTAGCCAGAATTTCAACTTCCGGGTGGGGGGCAAAAATACATACATAAACGCGATGTTAAAAGAAATATATTTTAAAATACATAAAGTTTGCATTTACTATAAAGATAAAACTTTAAGTAAAAACTTAATCACAAAATTGTTCGCAGCATATTTTAGCGAAAACAAAATCATCAAGTAGTTAAATAAAACTATTTACATGTAGGATTCACAAAACAAATCAATATAAATAGGTAAATAAATAAAGCAAAAAAGAAGACAACAATTATGGGAATTAAAAAGGAAAAAGAATTGTACGAGTTTGGAGAATACATTAGTAGTTGGTCTCTAGAATTGACGAAAAAGCTTTAAAAAAACTCGATGTAAATTTAAACTCTTTAATTTGAGGAATTTTTTTTTTTGAAAGAAATTGGTTAAATTTGAGTTAAATTGGAAAAAAAAACCCGAAAAAAGCACCGTGCGCATCTTCCAGCTCAGCGGACAGCAGGGAAGCCTTGGGATCTCATTTTTTATTACAATATTGGACTTGGGCCGTTTGTGTTGAATGCATACGGGCGGCCGAAAAGCATTTATCTGACTGAGATTTTGGGGGTAAACTTCGGCTTGTAGGCCTCTGCTGTGTGGGGAAGATGTTTAATTTAAATAGGCCTTTAGTATTTAGGCTGTGGAATTTGATCAATTAATATGCATGCGTCAGAACTAAATGGTAAGCTGTTTTTGTGCGTATGGGTGTGGGTGTTTGGGGGGGTGGTTGTTAGGGGGGGCCCGCCCCTGATTGATTGCAGGAAAAACACCATTTGGATGTACTTCTATCATTCCAAATATAAAGAGATTAGCATACAAAAACTACGTAGATGGGAAGTTATTCTATCAAAAAAATTTGCTCCTTTGATAAATCAATTTGCATACGCGCGTACGATGATCACATGTTAACCAACAATTGGCATAGGCTCGCAAAATATTCAGAGGTTCAATTTAGTGTATTATATATGCAGATTCTGGAGTAAACACCGGAAGTCCTACCAATTTACCTGACTAACAACAAATTCAAGAGACAGATGTTCACCAGAAAAGGAAAAAAAAATCATCTGGCATTTCTACGCTTCAAATTACATCCGAATTCTAGCAGCATTAAACCCAAAATATTAGCTCGAAACCAGTGAAACAAAAACAAACACATTCATTTGCACTTGAAAAAATCAACAATGTAGATAAGTAGTTTCACACATTACTTCTCATTTTCAGTTCAAACATCAACATATCAGCAAGTTCACAATCACAAAGCTACAAGCAAAACTAAAACATGCTTCCAAGAAAGGGGGGAAAACGTCCTGTCTTAACTCTAAACAAGATGCATAAACCACGGTTACCAATACACAGTACAATTTGATTTGTTGTCCTTGTTCTAACAAATTTTAAGACATCTTAAATACGTGTTTTGACTTGTGTCAGGTAAGAAAACAGTTAAGTACAATACCAGGAAATCTCTGGGATTAGCCTCACGGAGAATATTCCAAGTCCACTGTGTACTAATTTGGCTCCCGAAATTAACAGATCCGGCAAACATAAAAAGCCTACAGACTCCTGTAATCTATAACCGTCACTTCATCGTCTGGAGCATCAAGGTCTTGATAACTGCAACCACAAAAAATGGCAGAAATCAGCGGCACGGATAAAAGAGGCGGATAGTCCCTGTGCTTTCAGCACAGAAATTCCCTATATATACAGAAACAAAGTCTCTTGTGTAAAAAGAACAGATACGAACCAAAGTTGACATGAAGATTACCTCGGTCATTTCATATAATCAGCAAAAAAGAGGAGTAGCACAACAGTTTCTGAACAAAAATCCAATAAGCTAGATTTATGCACTACTAGGAGTTTCAGGATATCATTGTATGTTGCATGTTGTTTGGTCATCATACCATACAATTCATGAAACTATGTAAAGGTTTTCTCTACAATAGGATAGCAAGAAGCTTCAAAAAACTGAACGCTCTAGAATTAGCAGGAAAAGTTTCAACAAGATGTATCTATTACTATAGAACGATTTGGCCAAGCTTCAGAATCTGAATGATATATAGAGTTAGCAGGAACAGTTGGCCAAGTATACCTATCGGCTATTGCCAACACTTACTGTTGCTAATGAACAATTTCAATGACCGGTTTTATGTATTAATCTCTGTAGCACTAATTCTGGATGTATTTCCAGAAAATTTGGAGTTCCATGCTACATTTTGTTTAGTGCTCATATCACAATAGTAGATGAAAGATTTTAAAGGAATGTGAATAAATCCAACTCCAATGTGATGGCAGATTTAAGAAGTGAAGCCTTACCACCTTCCTACTTTTTTCACCCTTAGTTCATTGAGAAAACCCTAGCCCATAAAAATTATATAGAACCTTTATGAAACTCTCATTAAAGCCCCAAATCCCTTTTGTTTATTGCTATTCTGAACTGGTCCAGATCTGAAATCAGAACCTAAATCAACCTTTTTATATATTTGGATTTATTTTTTTTCACAAAAATAGCCCCTAAACCAAATTCCCTAATCCTCCACCATCTCAAGCAATTTACAAATTCTTCGATTTATCAATGATTCAAATCCCATAAAATAAACTCTTATAGACAGACCAGCATATATGAATAAAAGACATTTCAGGTCTTGTAAGTTCTAGTCACCCATTTCTTTACGGAGATGATACAATGGTCTATGAGTTCTAGGCCCGAGAAGCAAATTGAGAACACATGCTGTTTTGGAGAACAATAGCTAACAACTACGTTACCTCGGTGCTTCTAACACGGAGCCGGAGCCAGACCCATATCCGACGTAGTTCCCTTACCTGTACCCGACACTTCTTGGGCACTCCTTAAACATATATTATTCAGACCTATACTCAATTATACAATGCATGTTGAATTTAAAACACTCATAACACGCTTCTTGGATATATATCCTACACTTTACCTCCATTTTTGTAACTTGTTGGATACTGTAAAGTGTAAAGTTTGTTTCAGCTTTAAGAGCAAGGGTTGTCTACAGCTCAGAACTATGATTAAATCTCATGCATTTCAGCCGTGTCCACGTACATTAAATTTGCAGTGTCCCTTACCCATACCCACATCCACACCCGTACCCGTGCAACTTACACTAACAAGCATCATCATCATCATATTAGTTATAACAAGAACAAAGAACCGATGTTTTAGCTCAGCAAAATAAGAAGAATTTTAAGTGCTGTCAAATATTGAAATATAAAATAAATCAAATTAAAGATATTTCTAACGAGAACAACCTTCGTATACGACGAGGATCGTGTCGCATTGCTGGAGGCATAGCAAGTATTGGTGCTGGAGCACCTAATTGTGGGCCAGGGCCAGGTCTTCCTTTTCGTCCACGAGGACCCCCATTTGCTTCAAAAGGAGCCGGTCCTCCCTGTTCTCTTAACATGCGCATAGCAACTTCTGGTGGAGCAGGAACAAAAGGCCCCAACGGACTGCAAAATAGCACTACTTCATAAGACAAGTGAAAATAAATCAAACACAAACCAAGCATGTTGCTTCCCTACCCTGCTCCAGGCACAGGCATAAGAACTGGTGGAGGAGGAATATCATCAGGAAAAGGAGGAGCGCCAACCAATCCTTGTCCGCCATATGCATCATACATTTGCTCATCGGGATGACCCCCGATAGGCCCACCGTTTGCATCACCAGATGGTGACCCCTCAGCCCTATCATACCTACGATTTCCACGTTCGTCTCTCAGCCGATCTGAAACTGGCCTTCGTCGCATGGCCTTGTCCTGCAAAATTTTGAGACGAATGTATAGTACAAATCAAGTAATCTAATAAGCAACATATGCAGGCAATATATAGTTCCTTACTGTACCGTATCATTGTTATGCATCAATAACCTTTCATAAAAAATAATGTATAATAAAGTTTTCTAATGATTGTACATGTGACTGCATGTCAAATTGTCAATATAGACCAAAGAGTAAAGAACAGTGTTAACCTGCCAACAAGAATGCCACAAATCTATTGCTGCAAGAAGAAAGTGAAATAAAAAAGTGAAACAAATATCTAAAAACTCTTGATCGGTCATATTAACAGGAGACTGAAGTAGAAATCATAGATGATATTTAAAACGGTTGCTAAGTAATAAGCCCAAAGACAATTAGTAATACAACCAAAAAAGAACAACATTATTGTTGACTAATTTATTCTTAATTTTTTTAAATAATGCTGCAAATTCAGTACCTCTACAGCTCTACCAAGTAATGATAGCTTTCCCAATCATGAAGCATTAGAAGCACACTAAATAAACAACAGATCTTCCTTACAGAAAAAAAAAAGGGGGGGAGGGGGGGGGCACCATAGAACTTGTGACAATGATGGAAAGGGATATACATGAGAACAATTCAATGGATATATAAAGCTGATTATTTTTCTATTTGTAAATCAACTTTGCGGTTCCCAAGACATGGCTCCTCACTGAGGAACGCAATCAGAAAACAAATGCATGCAAAAGAACGAAAAAAAAAAATCTCTACATCATAGCAGGTTTCAAACTGAAGATTCAACAGTTAATATTTAAGTTTACTACATGATAGCAGATTCATCTAAAACTGAAAATTCAAATTCAACAGTTAATAATCTTTTCTTCACATGAGTGCTTGTGAACAAACTATCGTACTAAATTTGACTCAAATAATTGTTTTCTCTTCTTTCTTACTCTTCCTAGAGGTGATTCTGGATGTGATAGAACTTTGTCAGGTAACACATGCAAGAAAAATAAAGTAGCACATAAAACCAGTATCATATTGGATCGAAATAACATAATAATATAATAAAACCAGCATCATATAGTATTATTCGCTAGATTCACTAGCAAAGAAAAATCCTACCGGTGCAGGCTGCTGCATGATAGGAGTCCCACCAGGAGCATTTGCATCGCTGCAACAAAGATAACACTGTCAGTATATTCTTCTGAAAATTCTGCCCAAAATTTTTAAACTCACAATGGAAAGTAAGCTCCACCTACTTCATATAATTCTGAAAATAAAGATCCTCTCGAACTTTTGAAGTCAGTTCAATCACAAGCTCAGGATGTTTGAGTCTCAAATGCTTATGAACAAATTCAGCAGCATGAAAGAGTTTGGTGCAACCCTTGGCTCCACATCCATACTTCCAGCCATATTTCTCATCTCTTATCTTTCTGACAAGCGGATCTAGAGCCTCTGCAGCAGCAGCATCAATCTTCTCCTTGGCTGTCATTGTTTCCAAAGGATCCTGACCCTGCAATCTTTCCTGACAAAAAGAATCAAGCTTTTTGTCCCACTCTGCTCCGGTCGAAGAAGATACATCAGTAGTCTTATTGTCTGCTCTCACATGCCGAAGACCCTTGGCATCATTTCTCTCAGACATTCCATAGTAATCTAAATGATGGATGCGCCACAAATAGGTAATCAGTGTATCCAACAGCTCAGCTCCCTCAAGTCCCTTAACAGTTGTTAAGCCTCGAATTATTATTATCGGTCCCATGGATCCACCATGTGATTTTTGTCCATCAGATTTATCACTATCGCTACTGCAAAGAACATTATCCTTGATGCCCTTTTCAGAGTCAAGCTTACGAACTAGAGCCTGAGCTTGTTCTATATCAATTTGGATTCGCCGAGATTCAGAACTGACAGGGGGAGCTCTTGGAGCTGCAGAAAGAAGATCACTATCCTTTGCTGGACCCCTTGCATGTCTTCTCCTTTTGCCACCATTCTCCGCTTCATCCTCGGAGTTTGCATCACTACCGTGCTCTGACTTGTTTAAAGTGGAAGCTGTCAAACCTGGGCCACTACATGTGAAAGTGAAAGGTAGTTTAAGACAAAGATCTAAATGACCAAGCACAGATGCAGCCAATAAGAGAAACTTACAGGTCAAGAATTCCACTTTGCAAATCAAGCAAAAACTCTTTTGCGGCAACCCTTGCTTGTTCATTCCGCCTTTTTATATCACAAGACAATAAGTATAGACATATAAAAATAAGGAGAAATATTGTAAGATTAAATTTAGGGCATGGAAATAAATGTGATTGGCTAGTAAGAGGTATTGAGTAATTGGCTGTTTGGTGAAAAAACCTTAATTAGAGAAATTTACAGTATACTCTAATTTCCCACTTGCTATATCTGTTCAAATTTACATGTTGCCATCTCACCTTTCGATAACAGTAACTAAGTTAGTAGGATGATACTTGTCCTTGAGCCTGCACAACAGAATTAAGCCCGGGCAAAAACAGGATTTGTTAGAAAGATGTCCAAACATAAAAACTGTAGTTGCATATAAACTGTACAAAATACACTTAAATCATAAGTAGTACCAGTCTTCATCTTTGTGGGCTTCAAAATAAGCACGTTTCTGAGTAGAAATGTACTCTGACCTGTATTCTTCATACCTACACATTAATCCAATACCTCAATAGCTAATAAACAGAATTAACATTAGCTCTGGAATAAAAGTAGCATAACTACCAAGTACCAACTAAGTTAGTCCCTTAATTAAACTACACACACACACACACACAAAGCATATGCACAGGTTTCTGCACACATGCAGCACGCCTAAAGGGGCACATGCACGCAATCCCGTGCTAGAGCCTAGAACAACACCATACAGAGTTACATAAAGGCACTCTATGAACATGCTATCCATATACAAAAAGAAAATGTAACAAGTAGCATACAAAGGTATAGCTAACTCGACACTGTGAACTGTAACAGCATGGATGAGCATTACCACTGTCAGGAAACCAACAAAGAGTACTACAACTGTAACTCGTCAATGCAAAATTTCATCATAGATATGATCTACCTACCTGCGTTCAGCTTCAGCTGGCAATATATCATCTTCAAGCTCTTGAATGAATTGCTTGTATGACATCAAACCCTCCCTAAAAGCAACAAAAATTATACAAGTGTTGCAAATCATATCTCATATAAAACCCAACATGAGGCAATAAAAAGAGCAAGTATTGCATTCGGTTCCAGCACGTGCCAAATAAAAATTAAATACGCAATGTAAATCCAATTAGAAATAGAAAGGGACAAAATATGCATGCCTCCTTAAAACTAAAAGGTACCAAGTTGATTCCATGCATCAAAAGAACGGAACTGAGTAATCACATAATACATATTTGAAATTAAAGCAGTTCTAACATGGGGGAAAAACCAAAAAAGTCTCAGATTCTCAAGGACTCAAGGTCATAATTCATATTTTATGAGTGTTATGAAGTTCAAACAGCATTATGATTTGACATCTATTGAGGAAATAATGAAGAAAAGAGTGTGCCATGGCAACGCCTTATATCTTATATGAATAAGGAAACCTGTTGATCCATCTCTTCTAGAAGTATTTTTCATTCATATTATAAATCATGGGCAAAATAACTTAAATCTGGATAAACATTTACCTATCCATATATACAGAGCACTTTATTAGCCAATGACTATTCGTGATTCCTACTTGAATCAATTCAGTACAGGTTCAAAATCTATATTAAAGGAAGGTTACGGTAAAACTTCATTTAAAACGATTACAGGAGCAACATGCAACTTGAAATTGATGCTTACACCTACCATTCCCATAGTATTTAAGTACTCTTAACAAGGTTACAGAAAGCGCTAGGCGGCCTAGGCGATGGACATGACGCCTAGAGCCTAGGCGGGAGCCTAGATGTTTTCCTATTTTTTTAGTTTGTAATTACAATTTCTGATAGCCAATGCCAATGTTATGGAAAGCTTAGATGCTGGACTGACACCTATGTAGATTTCTTAAATGTAGATTTCTTAAATGGTGGTGAAGGAGGTTTCGCTGAACGTCGGGAGAGGTACAGGAGGTGTTCATAGTTGGAGGAGGTTGGAAGACGTGAAGGCTACAAAAAAGGAAATCACGATCAATACCTAAAAGGTGCAGTCCATGTAGACAAACCACCTAGGCGCTCCCAAAATATAGGTGGGCAGCCTAGATATCGTATAGGCGCTAGGTAGGCGGCCAAGGTACCGCCAAGGCCTAGGAGCATGCCTATTCGGGTTTAGCAGAGGCTTTTTAAAACATTGACTCTTAAATTGACATAATTCTCTTCCTTCAGTGAATCTGTGCTAAGCTGGTGAAAAACGATAGTGCACAATGAAAATGTATTGCCTCATTTATCATCTAGTACTTGGCAGTGGTGTTGCTGCAGTGTCCATTACTGGGTAGCAATTAATAAGTTAGACCATACAACGAGATGGCATAAAAGGTCGTTTCAAAAGGTTAAAGACATGACAAGACCTATAGACTAGAATCCATGACATATAAAGAAAATGGCAATGGTAAGAAGAGAATGATGGGAAGTAACAACTGAAGTGCACGAGACTGGGTAGCAATTAATAAGTATACAACGAGATGGCACAAAAGGTTGTTTCAAAAGGCAAAAGACATGACAAGACCTATAGACTAGAATCTATCGCATATAAATAAAATGGTGATGGTAAGAAGAGGATGGAAAGTAATAACTGAAGTGCACAAGACCATGACAGACACCTGGTGATTAGGAGTAAATACCCAAACTAAGCTAATGATTCAACTTAGTAAAACTTTGAGAAAGAGTGACTGAGAGGGGGGGAATAAGTAAAGAAATGGTTGTATATTATTCAATTTCATTTTATGCCTGAGGAGTCCACCATCCAAGCCTTTACTTATGAACACAATTTATGGAAATATTACATGAAGGGGAAAAAGAAATTTAAGGATTTCTAATTTAGGAAAGCATATGATATGGTGTTTTCCTAAAGATAGGTCTAGAAAATAATAAGTATATTAGTATATAGACGTGATTAAGATGTGTTTGATGAAATATCAACTTGCACGAGATGACGATAATAATTGAGGAAGCACAATTATTCGTCACCACCAGATTATAGTAAGGCTCAACAGTAAAACCTTATCTCTCTGTGTTAGCTTTAAACAAACTAGCTAGACAAGTTGAGGATGAAATCCAATGAGCTATGTTGCTTAATAATGATAAATGCATTCATTAGAATCTATATAATTTAAATATAGTTTGTCAGACTAAAGAAGAGATATTTCCAAGATGGAGAGGAGAAAGTATGCAAATCTAAATGATTTATGGTCAGCTCAAAGAAAATCTATGCTGCTCTATTAAAGAAATTGTAGGGGTATGCAAAAGTGGAGGACGGATTTTTATTCTTTCAATTTCACTAGCATTATCGCACGTGCATACACACATATAATAGGCGCAAAACTGTCAATAAATCCCTATTTCTTAAGAATGCATCATAGGTTCGATTATAATTATAATGTGATATCTTAAATCTTAGGAAACTATTTTTTATCTTATAGGGAAAACTGAGGTTTTTAGCATCTATTAATATCATTTGTATATGTTTTATTTCTTTTGTTGCAGAATAAAATGCATGTGCCTAATGCACGAAACTTATAATAAAAAAATATTTTATACTGTATATTTTTTGGCTTTTTAAGCAATACATATTATTGTTTTTGCTAACAGGAACTTATAATTTTAATTTATATTCCTTTTAGAATCTAAAATATATTAGATATGTAGTTATGGGCACATATCCTATGTTCAAGGAGTATGGTATGGAACATTCTAGAAAACCAAAAAGAGAGAAAACAAAGACAAAATGTTTGTGATATTCTAGAAAACAATAAAGAGAGAAAAGAAAAAGAGGGGGTCCCTTGTTAAATTGCCTTTTTGCCCTTCCAAATATGGTAGAAGATGAGAATATGTCCACCACTCATCCAAATTTTGGATTATCTCCACTCAGTTTTTTATATCGTAGTATAGGTATAGAATTGGAGGTCATTTTAATAAAAGGTGACAATGGTTTAGTCATTTGTTTACATCTTATTGATGTGGGCTCCATCACCCCCTCTAGAAGGTCCTATTATTGTTCATTCTTCAATCTCTTTCCCAAATTTAAAATCCATTTCTTTATCAAATGTAATATTCCATTCCCCTTTCTCTAGAAGGTTCTATTATTTTCATTCCTCCATCTCCTCAAATTTAAAATTTTATGAGTGACTTTTTAAAAATTATATAATTAAACGCAATAAAAACGCAACACGATGTGATCTAGGTTGTATTATCAAAAAGAGCCTTATTTAACATGTATTTAATATTGATTAATAATTAAAAAAATTCTTTTCATAATTATGTTAATAAAATTATAAAATTGGATGCTTTTGTTATGTATAATAAAAAATTTTTCTTTAATCTAAACTTAAATCTAGAAAAAAATAAAAACAAGTAAACTAGAATTTGTTTTATTTTTATCCTCCTGTGATCTATAAACTATTATATGCACTTAGGGCTTGTTTGGATTGAGGGGAATAAGGGTGAAGGGAAGTTAGGGGAACCATTCACCTTGTTTGGGAACATTTAGGAGGTGAAGTTATTCACCCTAGTTCCCATTGGTTCACCCCCTAATAGTATAAAATTTGTTACCCCCAAATTGGGGTGTAACCAAGGGGAAGGGAACTTAATTTGTTACCCCCAAATTGGGGTGTAACCAAGGGGAAGGGAACTCCCTTCCCTTCCCTTCCATTCTCTTACCTATTTTCCCTTAACTTCCAACCCCATTGAAATCCAAACACACCCTTAAGCTCAATCCCATTTCTCTTATTATGTAGGATACAATAATAATTTTTTAGATGCATAAAAGATATACATTTTTCAATAAATTCTCATTTTTTTGGTTGATTTTTTTTACTGGAGATACTATAAATACACATTAAATAATTATATCATAATTAATATGCATGAACCAGAACTCTTTAGACAGTAATTTAATATTGCATGTGCTAATATTCTAGTGAAATATATAAAATTTAATGTGAGGGAAACAATGAGACAAAGGTTATAGTTCATATCAATACCAGGGCTGACATGATTTCACTATTAAAAAAGATCACTAACAGGGATGCTGACAATAAGAGTATATTCACAGAAGAAGATCAGGATGAGAGAAGTGCTACTAAAGTATGATGTAATTTTAGGAATTAGAATATCAATGAAATGAAGATAAGTCTTTACAAAATGAACATACGGGCTAGCCATGCTTTTATGGGTCAAAATGTCGAGCAATAAAAAAGTACCACAGCCGAACATTTAATATTGAGAGAGGATGCTGAAATGGACAAGTGAAGATGCACCAGAAACTAAGATATGAATGCATCCCCATAACCTCAAGTGTAGCTTCAGACAGGATAAAGGATAAAAGAAGAAAAAGATCCTTAAATGTGCAATGGAGCAATAAGTGAGAAATTTAAGAGGAAAAAGGGAGAATAACTGATTGGGTGGCGAAAAGGTAATCCTAAACAAGCATGGACTCTCAGGAAGTTAAAAAATAACAAATCAACTATTGTTTAGGAGTTGGAAGAAAAGGGTTCAATAACCACACATTTGCCACACACACCAAACAAAAGGAAATTAAAATTTCAAAAAGCACCAAATACAGCTAATTGATGATCTCATTAATTTCCATCCTCCAGAAATTCTTCTTCACCTCCTGCACATTGTTGCAGACGTGCATGTATCTTGGCTGTATCATGTTTAACAATTTAAGAGAAACGATGGGCCAGTTTACTGGCTGAATATTTTCATAATGGAAACATATAATTTCCTACAACAAAAAATGTAAAGAATAAGTGTTGAAAGGTATATGATGAATAAATTAGATGATCAACTTAGTGTGGGTATGCTCAGCTGCTAGATCAAGAGCAACTATTTTAAGTAGTGTTAGCAGAGAACTAAAGCATATTTGTAACAACCTTCTAATAATGAACATAGCTCGGATATACTATGCTGTTTGTCAGAAAAAATGTTATTGTACCTAATGACAGCAGATTCAAAATAAGACTGATGACACAATGAATTAATCATTCATTAAGCTTCCTAGCATCAATCTCCAGAAGATAAGACGAGCATATAAAGAAATAAGGGAGCAATGAAATGTCAGAGGGCGATACTTCATACTGCTGTCAGATAATCACAAAGATCAAGTTAAGCGGCGAAGATTTTAAGTATATAGGGGGGAAAGGACAGTCTGGCATCGGGGAAAGTGGAAACTCTCACAGAATGCTACTGCTTCCAGATTTACACCATCACGTATACCCTATTAGGCAAAAATAAAAACAGCAGAGCAGTCGACAAGTGGGAAAAGTTCAGCAAGAGCATCAGTTGATATAGCGAGGGCCAAACCAAGAAATCACACTGACTTCTCTCTGAAAGGAGACTCTCCCTTGCACTCTTGCACTCGTCAAAGACTCATAGTGAGTCACAATATCAACACTCTTCCAGATCCTGCAGGACAAGTAGCACTGGGAATAACTCAATGTCAAATGTGATAGCAATAGCACATCCAAATGGCCAAACCAAGAAATTACGAACACCTTTATCTCTCAGAAAGGAGACTCTCTCTTGCACTCTTGCACTTATCAAAGACTCAAGCTCTTTTTCAACTAATGCCTTTGCTGAATTTTTCCCACATGTGCTCCACTCAGGTTAAAGGAGATATGATTTAATCAGAGGTGGTGTCAGAAACGGCAGAAAACAGGAGTGAACACGGACCATACAAATAAGACTAATGATTATTCATCAACTGACCTTCGCAAACATAGAAGAAACCGGAGAAAATGATTGTTTAAGTGATCTAGTAGAACTTCAAGGTAACCGAATAGCCAACAAAAACAATGATCATGAACTAATTCTAAAAAATTTCAAAGTTATATACCTCCGGGCGCCTCCAGCATTTGAACTATCACCATAACCACCACGACCTGAATCAAGCCAATCTGCAGGTTCAGAAAAAGAAAAAGAAAGGATATGAATAAGCATTAAATTTAAGGAAACTAGTGAAACTGTATATTAACGAAGTCCACAATGTTAATATAAAGCATTAGATAACTACTCGGCCAAATATTGGTATCAAAAGCTAAGCACTCATATAACTATGTTTTTCCAAATACCTAGGTAAAGTTCTTTCTTCAATGCATTCCAGATAGCATAAAAGATATAATGGAGCAAGTATAAAATGCAGATGCCCTGTATTTCACATAGAAAAGAAACATGAAATTTGTTTATGAATTGTCACTAAAATTTCTCTGAAACTCTCAGGTAGGCATTTAAGTAGACATTGTGGTGTTAGCAACCAAAATAAGCACCATTGAATGCTGCACCGAACGCTGCTATGGTGTAAGTACAAAATATTGTTTTCTTTCAAATGAACCTAGGTAAAGTTTTTCTTTAATGTAATCTAGAAAGAGTATAGGAAGTTATTGTGTAGGTAATTAAATGCATGTCTCACTATGCTTCACATAACAAAGAAACATGAATTTGTTACTAGTTTTGATATAATTTTCCTATGACTACACAGTAGACATTTACGTGGAGGCAACAATCAAAATTAGCATCGACATGCTTCATCAACTTCACAACATCAATAATCGTTTTAACATAATTTCCTACGTACATGATCAAATCTCCTATTAAGATAGCCATACATAATTGTTAGAATGCTTCATATGCATTGTTGGCCCAAAAAACATTAACATAATTTTATTTCTATTTTTTTGGGAAGTTCCAGGATGCAAGCAAAGGTCCTCGAATTGAACCTCAAAGTATTCAGTAAAAACAGTTAATACTTCCTGTCCGCTTACTGAAATACATGTTTACAGTTAAACAAAAGAACAAGCGGGTTCCATACGGAAGGCCTTCCTCATAAGACCCACTTACACTCTGTTTATAATTTATACATTGTTGCCTCATAACCAAAAAGTAACCTTTGACTTGAGAAAAGTGGTTTACAACAACACTCAAATAGAATCATAAACAGATAGTTTGGCAACTCACACTAGATATTAAAATACAACTTGAGCAGGAAAATTGCTGCTACAATAGAAAGTGGGATCGACAAGAAACTTGTATAGTTTATGCTACTATACAATCTACTTAGACGATTTTCTTCAAACTGCAAACATAAATTTGATATTGATACAGCTCCAATAATATTATGGAAAAAAAGATAAATAAAGAATAGTCACGTGAACTGCGACGAGAAAAGTTAAGAAACTTCAAAGAAGTGATAAGCACTACGACATACTTTTATGTAAAAAATCAAACCAAAAAATTATAACAGCATCCACTATGCTTTTACTGTTATTACAAAACAAGGTCCATGCAGCCACCTGTATTGCTGCATAAAATTATGTAGATGATTATTGTATCAAACTAGTGATATGCTACTATCATGCAGAGCTGCTTATATGTCTGTCTTCATTCTTTAAAAATCAAATTGTTATGAAATCAAAGCCAAGAAGATTAGATCGATTACTAATTAAACAAAATCCGAAGGGACTTTAGCGCATCACTAAAAACACATTACCTCTCCTCTTCCAGTTCAAAAGGTCATAGAGGCAACGGATATTAGACATTAGCAAGTTGGTTTTTCCACTTCAAAAAGCCATGTTCTCTATGTTGTTCTCTATGATGCGTAAATGCTTTAGCCCCAAGTGAGTAACAACTGATTTTATGCATTTTTTTCATGTTTATATCCACGTGCTTCTAATATAGTGTAGATCATTGCTTCTTAATTGTTGTTATTATGATCTTCTCTTCTTCTTTTTTTCTTTTTTTTTGAAATTCAGAAAACAGGGGCATACATGGTTTACTATTGGTCAAAGCAAAGTATTAAATAAGAAGAAATTGAAAATGAGCGGATGACAACACTTCATAAGTGTTGCAAAAGAAGTTCTAGGTGGACACTTAAGCCCTCTAGTATAGTAGGAATTTAAATTAAATGGAAGTTTAGAGGGATTGTAAGCAACGCACAAAGCTCGAGGCATTGGTGCCTCTTGACATCGAGACATGTCTAACATTTTTCTAAACCACTACAATTCATACAGACAGCGGTTACATGTTTTTAAGAATGAAGTGGAGCTTGTCCTTAGAAAGATTGGTCAAGTGAACTTCATCCGAGCCTTATAGAATCCAATCATGTGTTGAACAAATAATTTTATTGATTTCCTTCTCACTTAGCTATTTTTCTAGTGAGTTGCTCAATAGCTTTCTTTTATGCATCCCAGTGATAATTGGTTCTCAGTTCTCTGTTCAGGATCCCCATTTTATTTTGACTTTTTGCCGCCTTCTAAATACTTCCTGCTCTATTATATGTGTGTCTACAAGGCGCCAGGCATTGTGGAGAGTTGATCTACTGCCCTGCCACCTGCAAAGAAAACGTTTTCCCTTCTTTATTAAATTAAGAAAACTTGAGACACATCTTAGTTCCATCTCCCGCCACTATCAGGACCTAGGTCGCGTGTTGACGTGCCACCACCCCATGGTCACATTTGTGCCTTGTTGTTGTCTCTACGGACCCGTAAATGAAAGGAAGAAAATGGGCTAGGAGAAGTCCTAATTTGTGTATACAAAGCATGTCGAATTTTAATCTACTTCATAGGTTTCACTTATACAAAAGTGGGGTTAAACCCGTAATGTTTCCTGCAAAAGTAGGGCTTGATGCCCTACCCATTTGCCCCCTCTTTTTTCACCTTAGAGGGAGATGTTGTGGGACACCAGAACGGTAATGCCAAGGCAATGGCGCAGCAGTAGGCTACCAGTGTGGCTTCTGAGGTATAGACATTAGCCAGATGGGTGGTAGGAACACGTTATCTTTTTGTTTTTAACGTGGAAGTGTCTAGCTAAAGTTCTTACCCAAAATCACAATGACTTAAGTATCACTTAACAACAATGACTTGAGTGTCAACTCCATCCAGGTAGCCACCTAGGTCGATGTTCAAATTACATCCTGAAACACTCACTATACCTCAAACATTATTATAGAGGAAAGGGTATCCAGTGTTGTAAATAGCGGCCAATAGCGGGGCTATAGCGGCGCGAATAGCGGTCGCGACCCTTCAGCGCTACGCGTAGGGGTTTCGCGGCTGGCTTAAGCGGGAAAATCCGCTATTCATTCGAATAGCGCGTAAAAGCGGATTTTAGCGGGTTAAAAGCGGGTTTTCACGGTTAAAAGCGGATTTTCGCGGTTAAAAGCGGATTTTTGTTGTTAAAAGCGGCTAAACCCATCACACATATTATGATGCTATATTTCTTGAATTTCTTCATAGTTTCATTCATACAACAAGCTTATTAATTGTTATTTATTGATAATACAAGAAATTTATAACTAATTGAATTTTTAGATTTTTTTATGAATTTTCTTATTATTTAGGATATTTAAATATATTTAAATTTGACCGCTATTTGACTGTGCGCTATTTACCGCGATTTCGCCGCAATAGCCCGATATAGCCTTAGCGGTACCTCGCCGCGACGCGCCGCGATCCGCTATCAATAACCTTGAATTATAATATGTTTGAATGTGGGTGTCAATCAAATTTCAGATTTTCTTAATATATTGCTTTATGATTATTGAGATAATTGTTTGATTTTTAATATATTGGTTATGATTTTACTTGGATGATTCGTGATATTTAAGCAGAAATCATTATAGTGCTGGTTAAAAATTCCTTGAGATAATTGTTTGATATTGTTTATCCTATTTGAATCAACTCATGGATGTTTATAAATATATGGCAAAGTTTCATATATATTTATTTATTTTGATTTGATAGTAGAATGAGAACGAGAGATTATTGTGTTGAGGGCTTCATGTCCACCAATGAGTTTTAAGCATTTTATTTAAACTTACCAAAGTTGTCCATTATGCACAGTCAGCTGTTAATACATAAAAATTTAGGAATTATGCATATTTGATAGTTATTTTCTGTTAAAAAAAGACTCAAAGTTCATGTTTGTCTTGATCTGTTAATAGTTATAAATATCCGTGTCCTGCTCATGCTCTTGATATCCCAACATTTTTGAGAATTGATCTCTTTGGATCTTTAACTTCAATAATGTTTCTGCACATTCGTGATGGAGTGTTAGATCTTTATTGTTATAAATGATGTATAGGATGTGTTTTTTTATTTGGTGGGTGGTAGGAACACGTTATCTTTTTGTTTTTAACGTGGAAGTGTCTAGCTAAAGTTCTTACCCAAAATCACAATGACTTAAGTATCACTTAACAACAATGACTTGAGTGTCAACTCCATCCAGGTAGCCACCTAGGTCGATGTTCAAATTACATCCTGAAACACTCACTATACCTCAAACATTATTATAGAGGAAAGGGTATCCAGTGTTGTAAATAGCGGCCAATAGCGGGGCTATAGCGGCGCGAATAGCGGTCGCGACCCTTCAGCGCTACGCGTAGGGGTTTCGCGGCTGGCTTAAGCGGGAAAATCCGCTATTCATTCGAATAGCGCGTAAAAGCGGATTTTAGCGGGTTAAAAGCGGGTTTTCACGGTTAAAAGCGGATTTTCGCGGTTAAAAGCGGATTTTTGTTGTTAAAAGCGGCTAAACCCATCACACATATTATGATGCTATATTTCTTGAATTTCTTCATAGTTTCATTCATACAACAAGCTTATTAATTGTTATTTATTGATAATACAAGAAATTTATAACTAATTGAATTTTTAGATTTTTTTATGAATTTTCTTATTATTTAGGATATTTAAATATATTTAAATTTGACCGCTATTTGACTGTGCGCTATTTACCGCGATTTCGCCGCAATAGCCCGATATAGCCTTAGCGGTACCTCGCCGCGATCCGCTATCAGCAACCTTGAGGGTATCAAGGGTAGCTGATAAATTATAACACACACTAAACTGTGCAAACTTCAAGTGACTTTCAAATGATGAACACGTGATAGATGTCATGGTCCTTTCTTTGTGAATTATCATGATGCCCACTAGATAGAGTTTGATGCATTTGATATGACATCAGATAATGGCAAATCCCTACTAGTAATATGTAAAACAAAGTACAACCTGAACAATAAAAAACATACATCATTTTTCCCAATGCACGCCATTTCTTTAAAATGTTAACCTGCAATGCCACTCGAAAATGACTAGGGATAGACAATTATTGCAGATGAATGAAAGAAATTGTGGAAAACAAGGACAAAGAACGTCCAGTAGGGGCATTACAGGAGGGGTAGTGGCAAACGACAAGATTCGAAAATACAGCCTTAAAGTACTTTGGATATTTTGAAGAGTCTAATAGTTGGCTGTACAAGTTTAGACACTTTTGTTCAGTACTACTATAATGTAAATAAAATACGAATAAAAAACCAATTTAGCTACTATCATCACAAATTTGAAGCATGCCGGTATATTCGATCCATAAACATAAACCATCAGAAAGAAATAAAAAATAAAAAAATTATTTGTAGTTGATTGCTACTTAATATTAACACCACCATAACCACCACTGCCAAAAGAACAAAAAACATGTGGAGGACACTACCCACAGAACCTTCTATTGCTTGTATATGAGCATACCACATAGGTTGTTCATAGTAAGACACTAAATTAAAAGTGATATGTCATAAATTCTAAAGTAGGGATTTTACAAAGAAGCAACCAAAAGAAGGTTCCAATTACCTGACTGACGATTCATGTAGCGACCACGAGGCCTATCATCATACCCGCCCCTGCCTCCTGGACCACCTCGGTCATATCCTCCACCATATTCATAACCATACCTAACACCAAAACGCATGGACAACAATAAAATCATCATGTTGAACATAATAGCAACAACAACAACAAAATAAATAAATAATCCTAAGCCCTAAGTTCCCCGAGTTGCATATTCCCATCTCAAGATAAACAAGAGATCGTTTTTCTTGAAATACAAGCGAACAATACTGCAAACCCTAAGGGGGGTTTTTTTCCCTCCTCACTTTCACAAGGTAAGAAACTGTTATTAAGTTTTCACCTGTCATCTGATCCAAACCCTCCCCTTGGACTCCCTCGTCTTCTATCATAACCTCCATCGTCCCTCCTCGATCTCTTGAACCCTCCAGGAGGCGGCGAACGGCGAGGAGGAGAATGACGGCGATCTCGATAAGGCGGCGGGCTAGGACTACTCCTCCTTCTATATTCGCGATCTCTATCGCCCCTCGAAGATCCCATCGGCGGACGCGGAGGAAGCGCAGGATAATCCCGATCCCTTCTCCTCGGAGGAGGCGGAGGAGGCGGCGGCGACTCATCCAGGGACTTCTCTCGCCCGCGATCCTGGGATTCCGAGGGCATGTCCATAACATCGGCCATTGCAAACCCTAAAATCCTAGACTTTCTTCTAATTGAAGCCTTAGGAATTGAGAAATGAAGTGACAATTTCGAGATTAGGGTTTTCTTTTTGTTATTTGGGGGGTTTCGTCGTAGAAGAGAGCGGGGAGAAATAACTTTTATGGAAAAAGAATCGAAGGACCTGAGTCTGGAATGATAGGGTGTGGATTTTGCGCGGCCACCGTGTTCTAGGTGACGGCGCGACGCGAGAGCGTTGAATCTGAACCGTTAGTTTGGATTTACTGGTGAGTAGACGGATGGATGGACGGATGTTTTTGTTTCCCAATAAGCAATTTGATAGGCTCCTCGGACTTCATTTTATTTGTGTGAATGTTCATATTAAAAAATCTACTGAATTAACCTGAGTAACTAGATGTTGAGGTAAACCATTTTCAGTTTTTTTTTTTTTAATATGAGTGTTGTTTGAAAGTAAGGAATTTGTATAGAGTTTTATTACCGGCTGATTTCGTAGTCGGACACTCTAGAAAGGCTCTTTGCACACAAAGAAGCTCATAAAAACTAATGACCTACGTCTTCAGTCAATGATATGAATAAAATTTCTCAGATAGTTTCTCGTTAATTATAAAATCAAACATGTTTGCTAATTACATGTATCTTTATTATAATTTTCAGCCTTGTTTCAAGTTTAATAATTGTAAGAATTCATAATTAGAGAAATAATTGAAAAGAAAGATCTAGGGAAGACAATTAACCATTAGAGTTAATACTTTTTGAACATTTGTTTGGTATAAGAAGAAAAACATAACGTAGATTCAATTCTTCCCTTCTTTCTTTTTCACATAACTATTACATGAGGTTTCTTATCATCAAGAATTGAATTGCGTTTTGAGGGGAAAATATGCACCCTCTATTTTGGCGTGAGCTATAAGTTATACGTCCATTAAACTAATGGACTCTAAAAAGATAATTAAGCTTTCTTATGGCTCTTCTAAAAAAAGACATCGCGCGCCTTAACCTATTTATTATCACAAAAAGCTTTAAGTTGTTTTGTTCAATAAAAAAATGTGAATCCCTAGAAAAATTACCGACACGCCCATACAAAAAAGCGTTTTCTCAAATAATTGTCATTTTCTTGTTTGCTTCATTAGAAAAGTGGGAAACCACGTCTCTAAAAACAAGCCAGATTCCTTTAAAAATAATAAACCCACCTCCAAGTTTTGAGCTCGAAAATAGGATTATAGGGTGTGGATTATGGGTGGCTGACATGTTTTAAGGGATGGTAATAGACCATTGAATCTGAGCCGCTTGTTTGATTTACTGGTGAGTGGATAGATAGGCAGATATTTTTGTTTCCAAAGAAGCAATTTGATAGGTTCATTGGCCTTCATTTCATTTGCGTGAATTGTTCATTTTTTTCGAAAACTTATTAATGTTGAGGTAAATTATTTTCATTTTTTTTATTTTGGGTTTGGTGACGGAACTTCTCATGATCTAGGGTATTTTCAGAAAATGAAATTTCTATGGGTGCTCGTCAAGAGAGTTGAATTTGAGACATTAGGATACTACTTATTCAACTTAGCTAGACCCTCATATATTTAAAATTATTTTTAACTATTAGTGTTGTTTGAAAACTAAGAATTTGTATAATGCATTATCGTTGGTTGATCTCATAGTTGGACACTATACATCAGGCAAAGGAACTTGGTCTAAAAATAAAGTCTAAACAATTTTTTAAAACTAGTATAGTGCACGTGCATTGCACGTGGACATATTTGTTTTATGTTCTAATACTTTACACAATTCATTATTTAATTAATGAAAGAGTTTCATTTTGAATGTAGTTATAACAACATTTGAGGACTTATTTATAATTTTCTTACAATTTAGATCATATACTTCTTTCAATCTTCTTAAGATTTAAGTTTTGAACTATATAGGGGTTTATCTATAAAAAATTATATGAAATTATATGAACTATATAGGGGTTTATCTGTAAAAAATATGAAGTTTTAGTATTTTTCTATAAATATATGAAATTTCAATGGTCTTTGTGAAAATTATGAAGATCCATGGTTGTTTGTGAAAAAATTCAGGGTTATTTTTTGAACATCGACAAATCATGGAATACCCAAAAGATACAATTTTTTTAATCTTAAAAGACATAGTTCTATTTACTTTATAATTTAAGATAATGAATGACATTTAATAACTACTGGTAGTTTTATGTGCAAATTTAGAATATAGTTTTAACAATAGGGAGGTTATAATATACTTATTATATAAATTTTTTTTTTCAAAAGACAAAAATTCCAAGTTTGTTCTTTGCTTTTATGTTAAGTGTGTCATGCTATTCCAGTTTATATTAATTATCTTTATTTTTGCTAATCTATTATAACAAAATAAAATTCTCACTTTCACCTTCTCTCTCTTCTATTATCATATAATTAGTAACATGCTACAAAAAATATATCTACTAAGTTCATGGATAATACAATATTTCTCTCAAATCACAATTAAGTACATAGTAATAATTATAGAAATAGAAAAAAGTTTATTAAAACCCCACCAAATTAGACCTCAAACTTTAGCCTCAATCCGAATTCTTCACATTTCCTTGTATCAATCGTATCCTCAATCCACATATAGCCGTCAATCTAACAATCACATCAGTATAAAGTATAATCCGAGTAAAGCTCAGTACTTCCTCAGCACAACTCCAATTGTTTTCACCCCTTTGTCGTTCTCTCTTCTGAAGGGATAATGTTTTCACTGGCGAGCTTGTATCATCCAAATAATATCATAGTAAAGTCATGGGGTGAGTATAGGATGTTGTTAGGGTTGTAAGAGGTGAGTGTAAATCTAAACAAATGAGTGAATTTATATAGGTTGCAAGTAAGGGCTATTATGATAAATAAATAAAAAGCAGGCTCTTTGAATTCCGTAACAATCAAATGTAATTGTCACTTAAATAAAAACTACAATTGAAAATGTAACTCTCATTTCAAGTATGCATGAATGCATGCACTAATGACATTTTAAGTTGACACTTTGTTTGCAAATTGAAAAATATATTATTAGTTTGTCATATGTGCGTTTTAGTAAAGGGGTTACAAAAAATAGAAGTTAATATTAGTGGACAATTAATAGGAGAGTTATGCCATTATTAAGAATGTATGCATATAAGCATTTTAAGTTAACACTTTGTTTGCAAATTGAAACGTATATTATTAGTTTGTCATATGTGTGTGCATTTAATTCTCAACTATTATGTCAAATACAACTTACAATCTTAATTTTTTTTATGATAACATTAATATTGGATTAGTGGAGGGGTTACAAAAAATAGAAGTTAATATTAGTGGACAATTAATAGGAGAGTTATGTCATTATTAAGAATGTATGCATGTATATGTATGTGTTTATATGTGTGCAAATTTTTTATGATAACATTAATATTGGATTAGTGGAGGGGTTATAAAAAATAGAAGTTAATATTAGTGGACAATTAATAGGAGAGTTATGCCATTATTAAGAATGTATGCATGTATATGTATGTGTTTATGTTTATATGTATGCAAGTATGTGTTTTGTGGATGCATGTATGTGGTTTGGAGGGCATTTTTAGAAGAAATGTTTTAACATACCAACACACTTTTATAATAGTATTAGATAAAAGCTCTTCACACGATGAAAAAGCTTATAAAACCAATGATCTACATCCTCCGTCAACAATGAATAAAAGTTCTCAGATATTTTCTCACTAATTACATAACCAAGCCTGTTCATTAATTACATGCATCTTTATTATACTAGTTTTTATGCATGTGCAGTGCACGTGGTAAAATATCAAAATATCTTTTTATATTTATTTTGTTACTATAAATAAGTCAGATTTATCTTGAGTTCAAATATGTAAAATTAAATTATATATTTATTTTGTTACTATAAATAAGTCAGATTTATCTTGAGTTCAAATATGTAAAATTAAATTATTAGATTTACTATTATTTTTATTTAAATATTAAAATATGTAAAATTAAATTATTAGATTTACTATTATTTTTATTTAAATATTATTAAAAATTAATGTAATTGATTTTTAAGCTAAACTAAGATGAATATACCTAACTAGGATATTGTAATTGTCATTATAAACTATAATTATAGCAATAAAGAAATCACATTTATTATTGTATTGAAAATAGAATTGCACAATATTTTTGGATATTATAAGCTTAATTGGGTCATCTTAATTGATTTCTTAAGAAACAATATGAATTGACATAATAATATCTTTGTTGAAATCTAAAAGACAAAATGTATATGGATATTACTTTGTATGTGGACTATTAACTTTGTGTCTTTTCATTAGCCCAATGTTCTTTTATCTTCCATCATGTATTTATAAATTGTACCATGTATGGAAATGGATCAAGGGAAATAAAAATTACAATTTCTCTTCTTCTCTTGTCTCTTGTCTCTTGTTTTCATTTCTTTAGTATATTATAATACGTTATCAGTACAAGTGGCTCTAGTCGATTCGTGATCATTGGTTCGTAGTAATAGATTTTTAGGTATACATATTCTGCAATGTAATAATACATTCGGCACTAGTCTATTTACATAGTATCAAGCTTTCCGTCGAATGATTATGATTATGTCCAGTATGATATGCAATTCTTTTATCAAGCTTTCCGTCGAATGATTATGATTATGTCCAGTATGATATGCAATTCTTTGGTTTGTTTTTATGCGAATCATGTTCGAATGATTATGATTATGTCCAGTATGATATGCAATTCTTTGGTTTGTTTTTATGCGAATCATGTGATAATGATATATTTACTAAGTTGTCCTTTTATAAACACACAAACAGGCATGTTGGTCTTATTATGAATACAAT